ATGTATTATAAGCTATATAGAAATCTATCTCAATCACAATCATCATCTTAATTCATGTCACCATCAATAGCTGCAAAGGACAGTTTAACCATTTCCTTATAAAAACGCCCAACGAGAAAAAGCATGACAATCCCACTAACGGCACATATACGTGGCATGATTGACAAGGCTGTCTTGATGGGACTTCGAGCTGCTCTCCCGATAATGAGGACGACAGCGAGCGTTGTACCGCATAAAAAAGGAGGAATTTCACCAGGCAAAATCATTCTAGAGGGTAATCGACTTCGACTCTCAGTCAGGCTCAAAACTCTGGATGACCACCATCCGCTGAGGATTCGTGCGGCTGTGTGCCCAAATATAGGCACGCGGAAATACAAAAAGAGAAATCGAGCGACTTCGGTTCCCGAAGTAATAATGTCACGAGTACAGCGAGCGTACCGACAATTACCAGAGGCAGAGAGTGCGGAAGCACTACCACCTACATCCTACTTACCGAAAGCAGGATCTAAAGAACAGCAAATTGAGATCTGTAGACGATAGATCAACTAGGTGTCGAAGTCGGAAATTTGTGCCTACTCGGATGGCTCATAGGAAGGGAATGGACGCTCTGCGTGGGGTTTCGTTCTGAAGAGGAGCGGGCAGACTTTGCTCACGGGAAGTGGCATCAGGCATGGGGGGAGGCTTTAGATGCGGAAATCACCGGGGTTAGGAAGGCTCTTGAGGCAGCATTGAGACTCTAGAGCGCGACACAACGAGTCTACCTTCTACTGGATAGCCAACACGCGGTCAACACACTTGAGATAGGCAAGTCCACGACAAGCCACGATGAAGTACGAAAATTCCGTGAGCTGTCCAAATCAGCTCGCGTGATAATTATATGGGTTCCTGGACACTCAAAAATTCAGGGTAACCTAGAAGCTGACTCGGCCGCCCGGTCAGGCCTACGGGTGTTGCCTAGCGCAGAAGTGCGGCCAGAAACCATCACTCTGGCATTTCTTCATCGACAAATGAATCGTTTGCGGCAAGTATTGCTCGACAAATGGTGGAACGAAGCTTGCCCGCCCCAATATCGCAAGCTAGACCTGCTCATGCGACGACGCAAACCACCCAAGCTGGGACTTTCGAGGTTCCTTCTCCAAAATCTGATTGCAGCTCGTACGGGCCATGGTAATTTCGTGGCGTATCATCGCCGTTTCAAGAATAGGACGCTTTCATGGAGTGCACCTGCGGGGAGGAGACCACTCCAACCCATTTTATTCACTGTCGGCTCAGAGGGAGATTGTCACATAGTGACTTCATTCAAAAGCTTCTCGGGCCAAAGTGTCTCGAAATTTTCAAAAAACTTTGTCAAGGAAACCTGCTGTTTTGAGTTCCCATCTACAAATAGGACCTCTGATCTCATAGAGGACCATTTAAATTAGTCATACAGATGATATGACAGGAAGGAAGAAAAGGCGAGAAGATTTGTTTTCTAACCAGAAAATAGCAAATCCGCAGAGCTGGATAGTTTTGTGGAATGGATTTTGGTTACAGAGGTTGAGTTTATGTACGGTTGCAGATTCTAAACTAGCTACTTATTGTTTAGTGGTTAACGCGGCGGGATCAAGTTGGGCTTATCAGTGATAAGATCTTGGTTGTCAAAACCGGTCCTTGACTCTCCGGGGATAACGGGTTAGACCTAGGACCTAAATTAATAAACAAATTAATAAGCAAACAACCATAAGGTCTCGTGTTGGCCAGCCCAGTCTATATAAACTAACCGACGTGCCGATACTTTTAAATAAGCCCGACGTGTTGTAAGTGGGCCAAGGCCTACCTGCCATGCAGCCCGAACTATTGAAAGAAGTCAAAAGTACTCTCCAGCTAAGACTTTTGTACTCTAATACAATAGAAAAGATAGTTATGTATATGAAAAGGAAAGTTATCCATTACCTAGACCAGAAGTCTTTCAATCTAAGTTCTAGCAAATACAGGCCAAGTGATTATAATTTGGAGTACCAGTTAGTCTTGTTATTGCATGCTTCCAAAAAGCATGTTTCATGAAGCCATTTACTAAAAGCTATAGCTCCTTCAGGAGAGCCTGGAATCCAGCGAATTCCCGTCGTTTGGTATTTATTTCGGCTGCAAAGGTGGGACCGTGTTGTAATTACGAGGTTAGATGGATGAGTATAGTGGTAGGACAGTATATATATGAAGGAGATTGTGGAATGAATATTTTGGTGGTGGGCGAATGTATTTAGACTATCTGAGGGTAAAATGGATATCTAGAGATGAACGCATAATCTACCTAAGAAATAAATGGGCCTGATAATATAAATGTACGATTTGTTCTACAGCCATGCCCATTGATTGTCTGATGTACTCATGTAATGCGTATCGACATTGTTTGATCCTTAAGCTCCTGATAATGAGCACGACTCACATTTGAGTCATGAATTAATATGGGCTTGCATAACTAAAGTCATGTTGTTTCATCACTGAGTCTTGCCTGTGAAGCCCTTGCTCCCTTGCGCAGACTAGGATCACAATAGACCGACTCCGATTGAGTCGACAAAAGAAGAAGTGCTCGGGAGACTTTTCTAGCCCGCAAGCGCAGATAAGAAGAGCGTCCGAGTGCTGAAAGCGGCGGTGGTAGTCAGCAAAGTCTCCATGACCTGAGCGAGCTGCAAGAAGGCGACCAAAAGCGTAGCGATTAAGGCTCTTGAGTTCGGGAGAGCTCCCAATGTTGGCGTTAATTCCCAGTTTTTGGTATCGTTCAGGAGCGTTTTGAGACTAGTACAGGGATACAGAGGCTTTGTATCGATATATTATGTCTCTCTTTGCCCAAGATATTGTTGGAGATGGGGGGGCGTAGGGGCTGCGCATGCTTGTTTAGAAAGTGTGTCAGCCGCCTCATTACCAGGTATGCCGACATGTCCTGGACACCATCGTACTCTGACTATACCTGGTTTGGAATAGTAGCTACGTTCTCTTTCTATCCATTTGGTAGCAAGGTGTCGGAACCGAGCGGTACGAGAGGAACTGCTTGGGGTAGGAGTTTCTACAAGGAGGCGGAGGGCGGCTTCCTTATTATCTAGGCAAACCGTAATATTTGTGGCATATCGGGCCATCAGATTATGGAGAGCGGCACTTGGGCCTTCAGTGGCCCCGGCTATTTCTGCAATATACACTTCGGCCGATACTCCGAGAGGAAGGGTCCCCAGCCCAACTATCTGTATGAGGTCGCGGTATATGTGATTGTGTTTTATTGCACTACTTGAGTCTATGACTATCTAGCACATTGGGCTCCTCTCTGACCCAGGCTACACCTTGTACAGTGCTCCTGGCCTCTTTTGTTACTTGAAAGATCATTGATATATTTCCCTTGATGAATAGCCATTCAGCTCAGTATTTACCCGTGGAATTCTGCCACCTTTTCCACGGAACCTTCTACCAAAAAAAAATTGTAGCAATGGAAACTGCGTGCGCCGGAAAAAGTCTCAAAAAACCTGCAGCCCCAGCCAGGCGGCGCCTAGACACCAGGACCATGTGAGGTGCGCATATTCATCTATATCTCCCTTTTTAGTAACAGTCGAGGCCGACTTGATCCAATCCACCATCGCCGTATCGGGTGCTGGGTACGCTGCGGAAACTCATCGGATGGCTTTTCCTCCGTGATCAAGTGTTGGTGATGAGTAGGGCTCCGACCCCACCATCTGATCTGATCGTGGTTAGCTTCATGATAATGGTGATAGGGGAATGTGTTGAGAGATGAAGACGATACAGACCGCGAAAGCGATTGGGAATCCTCATCGAAGTGAGCTTTTTATTACTCAATCTCGGCTCTGCAGACTCTACAGTGAGAGCTGGAGGTTCGTAGGGGATACCACTGACAGGTTTTGAGAATAGTCCCCCTTCAGATTCCAGTGGTTCTGGTGTAATTGCTTAGAATGCTCTTTTTTTTTTGCATGAGATTTTAATTGCGTATGCAGCTATCTAGCTATGACACAATATCAAAGAAAAGTACACATTAGATGACTCAATTTAAAGGAAAAGCACTTTTGTCTCGGATTTGATTTGCAAGTATCACTGCGAAGTCATGGAGGCTTTTTCTTCGCCCCAAGTCAACCCTCATCCGTGGATACCCACCCAGGGAAACGTCTCAAAAACCCTGAGTTATCCAAACATGCCTTTGTCATCCATTATCTTTCCACCGCGCGAAATGTGATCTTAGGTGTCTCCTCCCCAAGTAGAGTAGGTGCTTAGGCTACTCAGACTTTACCGGAGAACAACATCAGTTGTCGAACAAAGGCGTCTTCCATCGTTGGCGCTTTTATAATGCCAGCGGCACTCTCGCAAGCGAAGTCTTAGCGCGCAGATAGCTCAATTTGTAAAACTCCTTGACAAATTTCAGAATTTCACGCCCACCGACATCATACCCTTCCTTTGCATCATCTTGTGAATTTTTCCTGATCCATCTCACGTTCATCACAAAAAACTGTCTCCCGCATTTGTGCGCCACGCTTTGCCCCCCGAACTGAGCGACTGTGGATATGGAAAGCCATAGAATATAGGATATGAATGCTACAGCAGTGATTCTCTAAACTTGAATGGATGCAAGCAAGTCTACTAATACATTACAACCTACCTCTATCTAAAACTCTCAGTGATCATACAGTCATTTACCAGTAACTATTTCATGTCCCATTACCTTGCATTTATGACACTTTTGTCCTGATACAGGTTCGACCTCAAGGATTTCTTCCAGAGTCGCTGGATAAGATTTGCAGAATATGAAGGAGTTTAGAAGCTTACTCTCCTTTTTCACATTTTAAATAAACTAAATTTAGAGTAGGAATAATATCATCCCCAATTTTCTATTTTAACACTCTACCACACTTCACCAAAGCAATATAGGTTCTTTTGAACTTCTTGTACCATCAGGCTTTTTGCTATGCCTGAAATTATTTTGTTGTAACAGCGGCTAATAGAAGTCATGCTGATCTCTATGAAATCATGGATTAATCGCCACTTTGGTAGAACGAAACCGTACTCGTCCGTGAACTGATATAAGCTGGCCCAATACCAATTTGATAAGATGCTGAATTTCCTACCACATACGACTGAGATCTCCAATATCCTGTAATATCATTTGAATATTGGGTTGAGGCTAGAAAGCTTCCTACGGGCCAAGCATATAAAGTGTATGGCCGAGAGGGTTGTTGATGGTTCTCGGGGCAAGTTTGTTGGTTGCTCACATAGCACAGCTTGAAGTAATTCTGATACAAGGAGTAGATAACATCCACTATTCTTTGTCTATTGTCAAAGATAACGTAAGAACCGTCGCTGTACAAGCCATCTGCCAGTGATGCTGTTAGCTATTTCTTTCTTGTGGTGAATCAGTTCAAACCTTACTTTGTTTCTTGAGAGGTGCCATCCAATAAGTATCTCCCGGTACACCACATCTTGTTCTTCCATTGAAAGCTTCGTAAACACGAGAGTTGAAGGCATTCACGGTGGAAGTATAAGCGTCATTATGATTATAACTCGTTTGTCCACACTTAATAAGGCTTTCTGCTTGTACCAGAGTTGCACTTTGAGCACTGTAGACAGGCCTTAAATGTATTAGAGTAGCCGCAATGACTAGAATACCGGGATGGATTTGCATATCAACAAAAATAGACTGTTAGAGTCCGAGAGTAGATTGATCAAAGGGGAATGGAATAAGCTGTTTAGTTTTGAGGCCTAGAACAGTGCGAAGCTGGATATATAAGCCCATTTTCTGAATCCATGGTGCAAACAAGGTATTATCAACTGAGCTTCCTATTATCATCAGAGCCATTGATGAGGTAGATGTACGGTGTATAGTGTGGATCCGTCTCGAAGGAAACTTCTGTCATGCCAATGTCTTAGTGACAGGGCTCGTCATCGAATGGCTAGCTGGTGAACTTCGCTGATAAATGGATTGAACTAGTCTACATGGACGGTAGATGAGCGAGTATTTATCCAGCCGGGGCGTGGACATCATTATCATCATCATGGAGTGAACTTTGTCTCCACACCCCATTGCGAAAACCCAGCCAGCTCTTCTCTGCCACATCGACCTCAAAGAGTTGGTAAAGCCACAATATACTCGAGTCAACTGGTCAACGCTTATACGAGCCACAATTCCTCTTTGTGCCCTTCATTTTGAGAAATATATCTGTTCGAAAGATAAGTTGAGAGAAATACCCTGAGTCACTACTGGCCATCCTTTCCAGGATAAAACTCGGCATGGAATTAAACGTCTCAGAACCATCTCATATCTTCCTCAGACAGACCTTGTTGGTAATGGAGATTTCTAGAGAGCCAAGCAGCTGAGAACAATCCATACATTTAACCCAGAGAAGCTGGAGAAAGAGTATCTAGGGTCTGCAAGATACATAGGCCAAACAGACGAGCCTCATGAAACCATTACCTTCATCATAATATCTATCATATTGCCCATGTCTCGAACGACCCTGTTGGCTTGTTTTTAGTATTAAACAACTGGAATATTCATACTAATCCTTCTTAACAAAAGGACCTTGTGGAGATGGTCATCTATCTTATCCTATCTCACCCTGAAGGATCAAATGGCGGAATTCTACACCGTCAAGACTACTCTTCCGCACAAAATCTGGATGGCCTAGGCACTCAATCTAATGAAGATGGAAAATCGATGGAACGGTCCTTTTAAGTTATGACTATTTTAGACGCAATGCTTGTAGACAGTATTGTGAAGCTACAATAGAGTAATAGAAGCTTTTGAAGGCTTACTTCAATGAATATCCGTATATTTTAGATATGCTATAATATAATCTATGAAAATGGTATCAGCTTCATCTTACTTTAACTTCATTCACCATTGAGTCTATCACTTTGCCAAGTCTACCAGACTCCTACTCTCGTGACTTTTTAATTTCAACCAGCTTTCTTGTGTAGATAGTCTAAACATCAATTCAAAGGATGTAATATCTGAGAGTACATTATATGTGCCGTGCTCTGGTACTATTTACAAAGATAAGCAGAGAGACTATTTTCAACATCTGTCAGTAGTGTCCCCTGCGAACCTTCAGCTCTCACCGTAGAGTCCACAGAGCCGAGCTTGAGTAACAAAGTCCTCACTTCGATGAGGATTCCCAATCGCTTTCCCAATCTGTATCGCCTTCATCTATAAGCACAACCCCTTTATCACTGTCATAATGAAGCTAAACATTGTCTGATCAGATGGAAGGGTCGAAGCCCTTCCATCACCCGCCCCTAATCATGGAGGAAAAGCAATTCAATGAGTTTCCAGAGCGTACCTAGTACCTGATATGGTGATGGCTGAGTGGATCAAGTTGGCCAGTAATACCACTGATAAGGGAGATATAGATGGATATGCGCACCTCATGTGGTCCCGGTGTCTAGGCCTCGCCTGGTTGGGCCTGCAGGTTTTTTGAGACATTTTCCCGCGCACGCAGTTTCAATAGCTACCATTTTTTTGGGGTAGAAGGCTCCGTGGAAGACGTGGCCGAATTCCATGAGTAAACACTGAGCCGAATGGCTATCCATCACGGGCAATATATCAATGACCTTTTAAGGAATATAAGAGTCAAGGAGCACTGTACGAGGTGTGGCCTGGGTTGAGAAGAGCCAAATGTGCTAGATAGTTATAGACTTAAGTAGTACAATAAAAACATCACATCATCACATTACATCGCTACTACTTACAGCTATCTATAGAAGTTTTATCGACTTTAAACTTGTTCGTCGACTTTGTGTATTAGTCTGTAATCACAGACATGGAAATAATGCATGAGATTGCTCAATGAGAGGCTAGTATTTATTCCGATATAATTTGGTAGAAGACTTGTCCCAACTATCAGAGGGCTACAACGTCTTTATCTATCTACAGGTAAATTCTCCACAATCCAACCACGCTAGCCTTACAAGAGGTAGCATATAAAAATTGATTTGTATCATCATTTTGGAGTTGAGGTTTACCGTGCATATTCAACTTGAGTTGTATGTCTGACTACTAAGCGACAAGCTCAGGTATCAATCTATTAACCCACACCAAACCGAAACTACTCACAACCCTGATGATGACCCCATGAATAATTGGAACAGTAGCCCGTAACATAGCACAATTAGGCTAGACATTGTTGACCAGGACCTAATCCGAACAGAGTTGATCCTCCCCGTTAATTTACAGACTAGTGACTTGGAGGGCAAACTGAACACCTGTACGCGGTGTCCTCTGCGAAGCTGGGGGTGAAATATTCTTCCGGAGCCAAGTTCAGTCAAATTTCGCAATACCGAACAAGTTGGCCCACGTGGCAATGATTCAAAATACTTCACCATGTCAAATTTCCACACCCAACGAGTCCGACCCATACCTAAGTCTCATCGAGTTTATAAGTATGACCCAGTACATCCTCATTCCAATGAACACACCTCTTTTCGACTTTCTCTGGCCTCAGTCGGTCACCAAATACAAGCCCACACCGATATTTACACCCGAAGAAGGAAGCAAAGCCTGGCGCACAAATCTGGGAGACAGTTCTTTGGGGTGGACGTGAGAGGATTCAGGAAAAGTTCACAAGATGATGCGAAGGAAGGATACTGTTACAGCGTGTGGTGAACGAATTGGGATTTGCCGTCTGCTGAAGATATCCTAGTAATGACTAGACGAGTAAGTACGAGATGATATAGACAGGTAAGGTTAGGGGTGTTGAACTGAACGGGCGAGGCGCAAAAGGTTAGGACTGCAGAACGAGAGATCGAGACGAGTAGAAGGATTCGAGAGACTATGAGGATATAAGATTGAGAAGCTGAAGAACTACTTTAGAGTAACTCCAGCTTCCTTAAGTATAACTAATTACGTGCTAGATTTAAGTGAGGCTCTGGAAGATTATGTCATGGTAAGCCCCTCCAACTCCAATTGTCAGAGTTTTCTCGGATGTCTTCTCATTGAACCTTCTCCTTAAACCTTTTACTTGAACTTTCTCCTTGAACCTTCTTCAAGGATGCCTGGCCATAACAGATACAGTCTCGATGGGCGTGGAATTTTGGACTTTGGAAAGGAGTTTTTACAAATTGAGCTTTGTGCGTACCAAGGCTTCGGTTGCGAGAGTGCAGGCGACACTCTCAACAACGCCATGGCTGGATGGTGCGGTGGTACATCGTCTTGGCCGTTCTGCCAAGTAAAGTCTGGATAGCTTGGACATATAACCCACTCAAAACAGTAGATTGCTGGTCTAAATCCGGAAAAACATAACCACTTTTCTTGCGGCGCTGGTATGCTTGGATAACCAAAGGTTTCGAAATTCCCTTAGGTGGGTACTAACAGAGGAGGGTCGACTGTTTGTGTAAGCGAACATACCTCATAGTGGTATTTGCAGATGAAATACAGAGTATGAGCTTCTACAACGTCAAAAGAGTCAACCCACATGTATACATAGCACCGGTCATTTGTCATAGCTCTATAGCTAAATATATATATTAAATGACTTAAAAAACGGTCAAACCGTGACACGCAGTATCAATTGATGATTCTACACACCAGAGCAAGTCTGAAAGTAAAGCCAGTTAATTATTCTTATATGCAGAAGAAACCAGGATTATTAGTACTATCTATCTAATTAAACATCTTTCAACATCCTCGTCTTGGTGTAACGGCTACAAAGCCGGTATTTCCTGTAGCCAGTACTGGCAAGTACTGGCGTACAACCACCGGATAACGGTTAGGCGCAAAAGCCACATAAAAGATGCTAGAATCTCCTAAGAAGGGACTAAAAAAGTCTTCATGTGAGTAAGACTGATACTGAACCTTGGAGAATCTGCTAGAAATGAAACCCTCAGAGTAGCAACTGGAATCATCTAGAAATGAGCTAACCATGAAGGGAAGAACTTTGAATGTAATAAATCTGTATATATACCTAGATTATTATGTAGAACTTAGGTCTTCATAGTTGAATTATAAAATACCATCATCCATACAAATGCTCCTTGCTTTCTTCAGTTGATCTGTGACACTTGGGGGACACGGAATTGATTGCCATCCTCACAGAACTAGTCCAGGGACAACTAACTTCGTGGTACATATATCTTATTCACTCAACAGTATTGTGAGACATTATTTTCCACCATAATTTCATGCCTAATTCTCTTTGAATCATCTACCATTACTTTGACCAGCCATGCCTCCCCAGTCCTCCCCCGAGGCTGGCTCATGGCCCCTCTTGCCACGCAACACTCGACGCGTCAAGACTTTGAATTGGACTTCAATGGACCACAAATTAAACCAGCGCCTGCACCACTATTATAAAGAGATGGATCTTGAGGAAAAGGAACGTATCTAATGTCGTGAATTACAAGGACTTATAATTGACTATATTACAATGAGACTAGACGCAGTAATGAAAGAACGCCTGCACGCTAAGACACTTGCACGTGATGCACAATTACAACATTCTCCCTCATTGTGCACAGTGTTAGGAAACACTTCACAGCATCTCAACATTAGAAAAAGGCTTTGTCAGAGCATCAGCTCGTTGTCTATTGTTTGGGATATATTGAATATCAATAAGTCCTCGTCTAAACTGTTGTCAACAATAATGGTTGCGCAACTTCACATGATGCAAACGCTTATGATTTTGGTGG